CATTTGTTTAGAAGAAATAGCAGTGAGCTGGGCATGATGGCACACGCCTGTAATCCCAGCACTCAGGAGGCTGAGGCAGGAGGATCATTGTGAGTTTGAGACCAGCCTGAGCTACAAAGTGATCTCAAGGCCAATCTGAACTGCAGAGCGAGACCCTGCCTCAAAAAGACAAAAAAAAAAAAAAAAAAAAAAAAAAAAAACTGACTCAAAGCCATGGGTGAAAAGAGTGATAAGGTGCACGTGTGTATACTTTATAATAGAGTAGAATGTTCCCAAAGCCAGGGCTTGGTAGCCTGGTCAACACCCATCATAAGTTACATAATTACAGAGAGTGAAGGGGTGACCCTTGGCTTACAAATCTGTAAAAGAGATACATGGCCTTTGCCTATTTGGTTCAAGGCATTTTAGTAAAGACAAATAATGTATAGGCTCTGAAACTCTATAAACTAAAAGGACCTACGTAAACATGTTGTCATCCACAAATGATAAAAACTGTATTTCCAAATACACTCTTACCTTGCAAATGGGATGAAGGAAAGGCTATACCTACAAAGAAAAGCAAATGAGATCAAATTGAATGAAGGGCTTGTGCAAGATCACCCAGCAGAATTGGGTTCTGAGTTCTAAAGACCTACAGTGATTCCTTCAGGTCTGCCTTCTCACCCAGGTGGGGTGCACACACATACCCCAAGGCCTAGGCACACACACACACACACACACACACACACACACACACGTGTGCTTGTGTTGACATTCTACATGCCAGGTGACCACAGAAGGGGGTAAAAGGCCACTGCAGAGCTAACTCGCTGAAACTCAGCCTCCGCAGGGCACTGCTTTAACCAGCAGTAACAACTCAAACTAGGCAGTGTCTAGATATCCAGGTGGCACAGGAACCCTGTTCTGAAAGAACTACAAATAAAATCCAGAACACCTGTCCTCTACCATTTTAGAAACCCTCACTGGAAGTTAATTAACTTCAACCCAATTAAGATAAATTTTCTGCTCTACTCCTTCTAATTTTGAAAGAAAAGAAAAAAATAAATAAAACACTTCTAACTACTCTATGAATGAAAATGTAACTGAGCTACAATTCTGAAAGAACCCAAGCCCAGAGGTGCCTTGGCAAATCGCAGTTTGGCCACACTGCCTAAAGGGAACAATAAACGGAACCGGTTCCCCACCCTCAACAGGCGGGCCCTGTGAGTCAGATGACGCAGGGCAGTCAACCCTAAAAAAAGCAGTCGGAGTATGCTGGAGCTGAAGGGGAAATATCTTTCACTGTGCCCCTTCACATGCTGACCCTTCAAAACTGGTTGCACAATCACTCTATCAGCAAAAAAAGGGGCATGCGCATGTGGCTGCCAATTTCTGCACCCTGAAGAAAAGCAAACTATGAATGTAGCCATCAAAGCAGGCCCTTCTAGCACCTTCTGCCGCAATGTGTGTGTCGTACTAAAATCAGGCCAGCGCTCTTCTCCGGATCTCACACTCACCATGCACAGAAGTTCACGTACATGTAAACAACGTAAACTCCAAGAGGCAGTTTGGAATTCTATCTAGTCCAAGTCCAGCATTACTAACGGAAGGGTGTGTGTGAAGCTTTCAAGCTCAAGCGCCACTTATACCAAACTGGAGCTCACTGATCCTGGAGTGTTGGATTCGTCTGTAGTCCTCTCTTTTCCTCACATTGTAACAAACATTTTTTTCACAAAACAGGTCAGTCACAGCTATCCTGAGACTCTTCTGGCAGAAACGTCCCTCAACAAACTGTGAGAGCCTCACAGAAGTGTCTCAGAAGCTACAGATTCCATACATACCTCTTCCCTTTCCCTTTGACGTTGTACCGACCTGAAGGGGCCCTGAACCGAAAGCTCCATTCAAGGGGTTGAAAACCCACATCCCCCGCAGCCCTTTCATTAGGCTTGGCCCTTGAGTTACAATCTCCTATCTTCACTTGGGTTCCCACAGCCCATGACCTGCAGGGCATACACAGAGAGGCAGCAGCTTCCCTCCACATCTTCCCATGTCATCAGCCTCGGCTCCTCCTCTGCTCCTGACAGTCCCCTTTGTCTTTCTGTTAAGTGATTCATTCCATCACAAGTATGACACACATTATTTATCTTACCACTCTCCTTTTTTTGTTAATGTCTGTTTGACTCACAGCCTCTTTGTACCAGCCCTCAGAACACTCTGAATGCCCCTGTACTTATGAAACATGAGTGACTGAGTAACATTTGTACATCTCAAAATCACTCGTGAGCTCAGCAAAAAAGCCCCGGTCGCAGCCTCCTGTGACCGCTGGAGACCACGAATGCCCCTTGTTGGTGAGCAGACTTTGCTCTGGAGCTGGACTTCCCTGAGAGCACTGAGAACTCTTTAATCTGAAAAGCTTCCACATTTTGCTAATCCTCCCTACCCTGCTAGCACCTTGGCTTCTGTTCCCTTCAGCTGCATTAGTCAGAGGTCTACGTGGGAGAGGTCTGCTGGAAAGGTTACCTACCACGTCAAGGCCAAAGACTGCAAAATGCAGAAGATGAGCGCAAGTCCCTTGTTATGCCACTGAAAGAAAGAAGACACGGTTACAGGAAAACAGGTGACACGGGCATAAACTAAACAGGTTACGGAAAATTAAAATATATACTTACCCAAAAGGCAGAACACAAGGTAAGCGTAAAGCACAACTAGAGGGAGAGAGGAAACATTAATTGACACATGACACTGAGGTTTTCTTTTATCTTAAACATAGATGTATCACTCCTGGCAAACAGCACACTCGTGCGGACGCAGTAATCAGAGTCCGTGAGTTTCACGGAGACCAACTGAACCTTCATTTCACAGCATTTAAGCCACCTGAGCAACCATGACTGGCAACCATTTCATAAAATCCTCATGAAATGGAACTAGCCAAATTAGCTAACAGTGCAGATTAAAGGGAAAGATAAAATCACCTTTCTTGCCCACATATTCATCCATCCATCTTTTCATCCAGACATACTAAAGTAAGCTTAACACATGCCTCTGTATTTTAACTCTTGCCAGGCACTAGTCTCTAGTGTGAAAGGGCATGTGAGGTCAAAGGTCAACATGAGATGTCAATCTGGCAGTCAGCAAGTCGCTTGTTTACATGTCACCTGACACTTTCCCTGAGTCCTTTCTTAGAAAGCTCTTTCTGCAACACACTTGTCCACTCAAGAACAGCTGCAGCTTGAGCACCACCGGTGCCTTCCATCTCTACCCATCAATAATAGAAACTATGCAGCCAACACAATCAGGGTATGTCCTTGGTGACACAAAATCAACAGCACACACAGTCATGGCTTTGGAGACTGCACCTATCTAAACAATTGAGTTGTATACAATGAACTCAAAGTATGTTGCCCAAATATTGCAATGCTGGTAATTATACCAAGAGTCCAGGGAATAGAGTCTGAAATTATTCTGACAGCCACATGGAAGATTTTTCAAAAATGCGAGAAGTATTCTGGGTTGATGGGCCTGGAATATATAGCCATATTGAAGGTGCTGCTATTGGAGCAGTGTGGAGACGTCTCCACTCCAGGAAGACTGATGAAAATATAGAACTAGATCCCAAAGTCAGACAATGACATGTGGGATAAAAACCCATCTTAGATGACTGGACGCCACTCTGCAGAATGAATCTGAACGTTTCTGGGTTATCCCCTCGAAGCTCCACCTGTACGTGGCTCTAACAGGAAGGTGTCCAGGCTCTTATAACCATATGGGTTGGTGAATGTGAGCAGCAACGCCCTCTATAGGTGCTTTATGGAACTGGTAGTGCCTTGACACCAAAGAAACAAAGGCTGGGAAGCAGACAAGGTTGAATACTAGATGAAAAAAAATGCTCCCTTCTGCCACAGGGCTTCACAGACTGGGTAATAAAATGAAAGATGGGGTAAAAAGGGGGTAGTTAGGTTTAAGAGGGGGGAAAATTCCACGCAGCAGAAATAAAAACTCCCATACGAGAAGCACAGATGAAAAGCAGGACTCACCAGCACCAGGACCGTCGCAATCAGCCGTGTGGGCTCAAACATGCGCTTCAGCTGGTTCATGGGACCCATGAGGAAGATAGTGCTAGGAGGCAAACACAGGTGCAGCTGCTCAGAGCAGAGCCAGCCTGGGCACGCACACACCTCCCCCAGAGCTCCTGCAGCAGGAAGAGCAGGAACAGCAGCTAACGTGTGAACAACGCGTACTCGGGGCCAGGCACTGCGCTCGTGGACCTCTCTCGTCTACTCCATCAATGACATGCTCATGAGGTGTTATCAAAAGATACAGTGACTGTTTAGATTTTTTAAAAATTACAGTAAACGACACACTGCCATGAATCCCCCTTGCTTCGAACACACCACACCATTCTTGCCACTTTCTAAAGGAATTCTGGAAGTCCTCTTTCATGAGTGTCTTTAGCTGTTCACGGTCTTTTTGACTTTAAGGAAAATCCAGGAGTCACACGGTGCCAAATCCAGTGAATTAGGTGAGTAAGGACATTTTATCTTTTTTTTTTTTTTT